GTATTGCAACCTGTACGAGCCACTGCCGTACCCAGAAAGTAACTTTGCTTCTGTGTCAGTGGTAGTATCAGGTGGTGTGAGGGGTTTGCCTGTCTTCTACTGAGCCAGTGGCAAAAAACTGTGTGTTATGGCAACCAACACTTCTCAGTGAACTTTATTGATAGCCAAGATTCATGGCTCAGTTGTGTGGTTGGCAGATCCTGTCCTGTTGTGTACTTTTAGCTGGGGAAAGTATGGGTTACATTTAAAGAGATAACAGTAATCTGATTGGATTGTTTGATTATTTTCCACCTTAGTAGCTAATAATGCATTTTTTTAACAAAACCAATCAAAAGAATACAGTATGGACTTATTGTAGGAATATGGGAATGGGTACATTAGGGACACACTGCTGTTGTTATCTGTTTATACCTGCTTCCTCATTCTGTGAGAAAAGGTCGAGTGTGTCTCAGGGTCAGCGTTGTTTTCTTGTGAGATCTTGTCTCACACATTTCTTTTTTGTCACACCCTTTGCTCTCTGTAATTTTCCATTGGTACAGTTCAAATAATCCTGACTCAGTAATATTCAAAGGCTCCAAAGAGGTGATGAGCACTGTCACAGTGATTTCATTCAACCCTCACTTCAAATCATTATCTCTCAATGATCTCATAGCATTTGATGCAACATACAGATGACACTGCATGGGGAAATCATCAGTATGGAAAGTCAATTCTTCCAAATATTTTAAACTTTTTCCCCAAATCTTGACATTTTTGAGAGAATATCATCATGACCATTCCTTGATTAGATGATAAAAAAAACATACAATGGGATAGTCCCAAAGTGGGGCTTCATGTGAGGACATAAGGTTGTATTTGGCCTGCCAGATGTTTCTACAGAAATAAAACAATCAAAAATAATTTTAAAAAATGATGATATGAATTGCTCTTAATGCCGTTTCATTTATTTCATAATCCAGGCAACGGTGGTAAGAGTGACACCACGCAGAAAGTCAGTCAGTTAATAAGGGAACTAACCCTAACAACCACATAGCAATATACAACTCAATATGTGTTTGCTTTTGGCACGTGGCCCGCCATTTAGTTTTAGTTTTGGTCATCCAATCAGAAGAGCCTGGACACCACTGGGACAGTGAAATAAAAATATTATTATTAATCCACTCTGAAATGATGTCAAAACTCCATTATTAAAAACACAGCTCCACCGCCATCTACTGGCTGTGTCAGTTGAAGAGACAGAATTTTGTGGAGACATGGCAACAAACTTATTATGCTATGATGAGAGTATATTATATATTTCAGTAAAGAGGCTGATGCTGAACTCTCTCACTTAAAAGTGCGAGTTTGGGTTTGTTAAGACTGTAAGCAACATTAAGACATGATTCCGCTTTTTTGCTGCTCAACAAAGGGAACATGCAGTTTTTCATTTTGCAATCTTTTCATCAAGAGGAAGTTGAAAGTATGACTGCTGTCTGTAGTGCGATACAACTGTTAGCTAGTTTGTCAAGAGTAAAGAACTTATACTCTGTAAGAGATAAAAAACTAAGAATAAACGATAAAAGATTGTGGACAATTTTCACAGTCACACAATCAGAATGTATCAGAGATGTTAAATGTTAAAATGAGTGGCAGACAACTGCAGAATTAGATGAAATACTACTGTGCTTTGTCTAATCATGTTCTCAAACTTACTTAAAAGCGTTGTTAAACTGAATCAATAAAATAATAAATACAATTTAATTTAACAAAATAATAAAAACAATTATTAATAATAATAATAATAATATTGACACATGTCTTATATACATATAGAATTATTTATTGTACTATTTATGAGTAACATTGAATAAAATCTAAGTACATAATATATAACATTTATAAATATATGTTCAACATAATAAAAACACGTAAAACAGGTCATTTACAGAGTTAGAAACGTATCGCACAGAAAAATGATTTCCTGTTCATCTGTGTTGTAATTTTATAAATTCATTTCAGGCAAATTTTCATTCATCAGAAAAAGTATACATGAGAATATATATATAGAGACACGCAGCACAAACACCATGCATTTTCAATATCAGGATGGCTTATTTTCACACATTTTTATTAATATGTCCATTTGGTCTTTTGACTCAGACAAACACTGAGAACTGATGGTCGGATTGCTGTGTCGCTTGGACACAAAGGACACCTCTCTATTGCCTTCACCTGGAGAGGTGCTGGAGATGTGGCGGAAGAGCTTCTGGATGCCGGTGTCACGCAGGGAGCTCCTGAAGGAGCGAGCCGCAAACATGTAGAGGATGGGGTTAACAGTGCTGCTGACGAAGACCATACCTCCAGCGATGAAGACCATGGTGCTCCTGGCACTCTCCAGATTATCTGCTCCATTGGGAAAGTATTTTTCTATGGCCAGGATGATGAGTGAGAGGATGTTTCCTATGTGATGAGGTGTCCAACAAATGGCAAACACAATCACCACACTGGCGATCAAGACTGTAGACTTGCGCTTGGACTTGAAGGTCATCTGAGTAATCCGACTGCACAGGCAGCCATAGCAAACCACTAGGATGGAGAAGGGTAATATGTAGCCCACCAGTGTCTCTAACAGCACACACACCAGCTCCTGGGTCACAGAAGTGTACTCCCGATACAGACAGTGCTCTTCATCAGACTCCTTCCCTACAACCTGAGTAGGGATGACAGGTATGCTGAACAGGAACGCTGCAGTCCACAGAACCAGCAGAACTTTATTTAGAGCTTTTTTACTCTTCCAGACGGCTGAGGCATAGGGGTATCGCACGGCCACAAAGCGCTCCACACTCATCAGGGTGATGAGGAAAACGCTGCTATACATGCAGGCGTTGATCACGTACACTATGGCTTTGCAGGAGGCCTCTCCAAACACCCAAGACTGGGCCAGGGAATAGATCCATAGTGGCAAGGTGATGAGGACCAGCAGGTCAGCAGCAGCCAGGTGGAGGATGAGCACAACAGTGTGGGAGCGCTGCTTGACATGTTTCAGGATAGTCCAGATCACAAGCAAGTTCCCGGGAGCTCCTACCAGGAAAGACAGGCCCAGGATCACACAAGTCACTACTGTCCCACCATCAAACTCCTCAGGGGCCATTTCCTCTAAAGAAGACAGCTCAGTCGAGTGGTTCATGGTACAAGTGTATGTGCTGACAGTGGTGTCTGCATGAAAAGAAAAACAAAGTGCTGCACAAGCACATCTTCACTTCCCTAGACTGCACAGGAAAGGGGTTTCCTCACATCACTATTTGAGACACATGGAGGTGATTCATGCATCTGTCATAAGTCCATTTTTCACCTCTGGTTATGGATTGGGGTATAAAAAGAAACATGTGGTCCAAGTGGCTGACTAAAAGAAAAATCTACTGACAGAATGAAATAGGTAAATGTGAAACGAAACCTGGCTAATCATACTGTAGATAATTATGTTTCAAATGTTTAACCTACACAGCATTTTGTAATTGTTAAAATTAAGAACCACATAGAGACTGGAGTCATGTGTTCGCCTGAAATGACATCTGTGAAATGTAAAAGATGTGGTATGTGTTGATGACTTGACACATAACCCTTGTCAACACTATATTACAGGCTTTCAAAATCTTAGATCATAGGCCTTCACAATAAAGTATAGTCCCTTAATTAACTGCAGCAGACAAGTGTTATGTTTTCCTGTCATCACAGTTTCAAGTATTCAGTCTTTTTTCACACAGAGTCAGACAGCAGCTCTAACTGTGTATTTGCTGCCCTCTGGTCATTCTGCTGCTGTACTACCAGCTCCCTGAGTTTGTTAGTTTGAGTTACCATTTCCTGGAACAGCCTGACCAGTCGGGACTCCTCGAGACTCCCTCGTAAGTTCCTAGCAAACAGGGTGTACAACACAGGATTTACTGAACTGCTTATGAAAACAAGGGCACCAGAGCTAAAGACAATACTCTCTGGCACACATCCATGGTCTGTGCCTGCTAGGACGCAAACCATATCGGTTGTGTTGATGATATGGTAAGGCAACCAGCACAGAGTGAAGGCTATCACCACAGTGTGCACAAGAACTATGGATTTCTGTTTGGAGTTGAAACTCATTTTCCTGAGCTTGGCAGCTACTAGACAATAACAGATACTGATAATGATAAAAGGAACTATAAAGCCCCCCAAGGTCTCCAGACATAACAAGATGATTTCTTGAGTCACAGAGCTGAATGCTTTGGTAAAACACAGCTCAAATTCTTTACTTTCATCCAAAAGTTGGGTCACTAAAGCAGGCAGTCCTAGAAGCAAAGCAAGGAACCACAAAAGTACAAGACATCTGTTCATAGCGCTCTTGGTCTTCCAGCGCATCATCACAAATGGATGACAAATGGCTAAAAAGCGTTCAACACCCATGAGGGTGATGAAGAAGATGCTGCTGAACATGCACACATTGATAATGTACACCAAGGCCTTGCAGAAGGCCTTTCCAAATACCCAGGTGTGTACCAGGGAATAGATCCATAGCGGCAAGGTGATGAGGACCAGCAGGTCAGCAGCAGCCAGGTGCAGGATGAGCACAACAATGTGGGAGCGCTGCTTGACGTGTCTCAGGATAGTCCAGATCACCAGCAGGTTCCCCGGAACTCCTACCAGGAAGGACAGGCCCAGGATCACACAAGCCACTGCTTTCCCACCATCAAATTCTTCATAGCCCATTTCCTTTGAAAACGACTGCTCAGTTGAGTGGTTCAAGGTGCAAGTGTATGTGCAGACAATGGTGTCTGCATGAAAAGAAAAACAAAGTGCGACTGAAGCAAGTCTTCACTTCCCTTTGAGGTTGAATTGAACAGGAACCAGCATTGCTTCAGGACTTATCTTGAGAAACAGACGATGCAAGACAGTTACTGCAAACTGAGAATACAGCTTCTGTGACCATGGTTCGGAAAGCAACTTTATTACTTATATAGCAACAGTATAGCAATTCAGGAAGAAAGAAAGTACATAAGTATATGGATTTCCATGCAATGATTTACTTTGCGTGACAAACTAAAAAAGTCAAAGGTCTTTTATAGTTACTTCTTTCAAGTCACTGGCTATACCTCAACGTTCCTATTTCTGCTCTCACCTTTTGTAGGGTTAATATCCAGCACATTATGTGCTTTACTGCCAACTTCGGCTAAAGAGTGTGTATCCGATTTTTTGTTATTAATAGTTCTGTTTAATTTTTTTCCTACATTTGCTAGAGAAAAGCTTCCCAGGAAGAGACTGTAGCTGCTGAGTAACAGTCCCTGTTCCTTTTTCAGTAAAGCCAAATACAGATGCTTGTTTTTTTTTCCTGTTGAATGCAGAAATTATTTTCTTCTTGTCGCATTTTGTTTTATTTTAAAGTATTAACCCGATTCATACATTTGCAATATTTGAAAAGCTAAGCTAGTGTCCTGGTTCTCGTATTATCCTTATTCTCCCCCAGCAACCTTTGCATTTTGATTTAGAACAACCCTCCCACTCACCTTAACTTTGGACTGTCTGTCAACTTAATCTATTGCATGAACTGAAACCATTGGAATAGTTAATTATTACTTTACTATTATTTCCTCTTTCACTTTCCTGCTGTGACAGTTATGGTTTCATTATATCAGTGCTATCAGAGTTTTTACTCCCCCCCCCCCCTTCTCTGAAATACATCCATCCCAGCTCAATTTTTCTCAGATTCTTCTTAGCATTCTTTGGAGGGCTTTGACATGCTCCTTCATGGTTAGCTTTGTTTTTTGCAAGCCTTCCTCTGAGTCGCTCAAAAATCTTTGACTTGCAACTATTGGGTTCTTTTTCCTCTCATCTGCAGTATCCAAAAACAGCCAGTCGATCACCAAATGATGGCAGATATTATTTTATTTGACGTTTATCACATTGGAATCAATCTAAAATGAAGAAATAGTATATGAATTCTGAAGTCAAGTGCATTAAATTATAAAAATAAACAACCTGCGTATACAGCACTAGATGAATAAAACACAAATAGCAACAATGAATTTATTTGGGCCACTGAAAAAAAAAAAAAACATTAACCACTTTTTTTATCTCATAATTTCTGTTTTTACTGGCAGAGAGTGGCGTCCATAGCTTCTACCTCCAGAAGGTGGCAGTAATGCAACACTAAAGATGCCAGCCGCCGCCAGACCTCAAACAACAACAAGAAGAAGAAGCAGCAGAAAGAGCCTCCCTCAGCCAGCTGCCTGCTCGGTGAAATAAACATGACGATGTTGTCAACTACGATGTCCACAGTGCATCTGCACTAAGAGCACAGCACTGAATACAACGAGGGACGGTGGATATTGGGTTTGACTAAATTTGTGACACGCTGTAAGTGACGATTTACTACGAGCTTGATGTTACTGACGGTGGCTAGCTACGTAGCTAATATTAGCTAACAAGTAAGCTAACGTAGTATTAGGTAACGTTAGCCAGGTAAATAGCTAACAGTGTGAACTACTGTTATTTAACTACTGGGGTGTTAATGTTAACCGGTCTGGTCTGCGGCCCACAGTTTTCACTTTGTTCGGATGGTTTAATCTATGACACTTCGTCAAAGAGGAAGTTAATTTGCGGCTTTATCAACTGTATTGAACTAACTTTAACATGAAGTTAGCCTTGCTTAAGAACTGAGAGGAGGTTAGCTCACATCCGGCTAGCTGGGATTATATATAACGTTATATTATAGTCTCCTAACTTCGAGAAAACTAACGTGAAAATGTTGCACTCGTGTTCCAACTGGCGATTTCACAGTCATACGTCCCGTTAACACAAATTAGTCACGATCCTATGATAACACTTGTGTATATAACGTTATACTTGTTTGCGCTCAACGTCAGGTTAAGTAAAGTTTGTCCAACGCTAGCTAACTCACTTCTGCCCTCACAGGTTCTGCTCGGATCGGGACAAACACCATTTTCACCAGTGGAGAAGTGGACAGCAAACACTGCAATGCCTCTGCTGTTTTTGGAAAGGTTTCCTTGGCCCAGCCTGCAGACCTACACAGCACTGAGTGTGGCTCTGCTCGCTGGCAGCATCTTCAGTGCCTACACCACTGTGACTGACCCTGGCTTTGGGGCCTTGGAGACGGATGAAGCACCAGCTGCCGCTGCAGTGGATCTTGACAATATTAACAATGATATCAGTAACACGGAACTGGCGACCACTGTGCTGTGGTATCTTGTCACTGACAGTCTCTTTGTGTGGGTGAGTGTTAATCAGTTCGCTTGCATCGCTTGATACGATGATGTTGTTCCAAACACTAATTGTGTCTTTATTCTCTTTACTCCCCCAGGTCTTAGTCAACACGTTCTGCTGCTCTTTGATGTTGATTGCTAAAATGATTCAGTATGTGGTGTTTGGCCCGCTTAGAGTCAGTGAGAAGCAGGTGAGTCTGTGTCGATACGTGGGTTTATTATGAATGCAGCTACTTTCTTCCCCTGGGTTATTAACCTCTCACCCGTCATCTAATTTGCTCTGCGTTTATTCCTCAGCACCTGAAAGATAAGTTCTGGAACTTCATCTTCTACAAGTTCATTTTCATCTTTGGCGTATTGAACGTGCAAACGGTGGAGGAAGTGGTCATGTGGTGTTTGTGGTTCTCTGCCCTGGTCTTTCTCCACCTCATGGTGCAGCTCTGCAAAGACAGATTTGAATATGTAAGTATTATAAACTATTATTTCTTTCTTTCTAGTGCCCCATGGTGTTTATGACCTTGTATGGTAATCTCGGGCTCACTGATAAACCAGATTTATTGAATTAATGACATGACATGACACTGTTATTGTTCTGAATATACTCTCACATTTTTTTTTAATCCAAAGCCACAACAACTAATGACATTGTTCCAGATGTTCAACCAACCAATCAGTCTAATTGTAAAGTGAGCTCTTTTGGCTCTTTTAAAAGTGTTTCCTTTCTGCCTTGAATGGGGAACACCTCTGAAGTCGATTTGTCTTGGACACTAAAGATTAATTGTTTTTTTTTTGGCTATGCAGTCTCCAAGCTCTTTGGGCTTTTATTTGTTAGGGCAGGGAACATTCCTTACTTTAGAAATGTCACTTAGAAACAGTATACCAGTGCTCTTTTAAAGTGACTCCCACTCTACTATTAACAGAGATTCAGGCATTGAAAATGGTCGATATTTGCATTAAGTATGTGTAGGGAGCTATACAGTTAACACAAATAACTCTAGAGCTTATTCACAAAAGTGTACATTTGCAACAAGATTAGTCTTTTTCTTTGCTATTAGATATTCTAGGGTTTAATCGATTGGCCTAAATGTCCTTGTATGTACTCTGTTCCTGTTTATGTTACACAGTAAACATGACTACTAGAATACTAGAATTACATTCTTTGTGGTTGGGAGCAAATATTCCCTGGCATTTGACAACACCTGATTAGTGCACTGTAAAACTTTATATATTTTTTTTAAAGGTGTGGTGAGTGTCCCCCAGAAGTCTGAGAGTAACTGGACTCTTTTCCGCCTGGGATCTATTAATAGTTCCTTGTACTGGCTTGTTGGGCTACTGATACAGTTTCAGTCGCTACATTGACATGTCCCTGTATCAGATTGTGCTCCGCATGTTGGGGAAAACAAAATATCAAATTTAATCACCTCCTTGCAAGCCATGAAATTTAAAACAGGTATTTAGTTGGTATGTTGCCCGTAATGTAATGCTAGCTGCTAGTATTTGTTTCTGCCTCTCAGCTTTGACTATAGATTTAAGTTACTTTTTAGATTAAGGTCTGCCAGTGTGTTCGCCCAGCTGTCTTCCTGTCTCCTTGTTTCTGTGGGTTCTAGCTTTGAGGTGGAGCTCACACATGTAGGTTAAACTGCTGAAGATGATAGGCATTGTTGTCAGTGTGCTGGGGAAACCCTGTAGGATACAAGTTTTACAGAACTGATGAAACCAATTTAGTTTCTTTCAGCTCATCTGTGTTAATGTTTGTAATGAGTTTCTAAATTGTATTTTATTCACTGTAGACAATGTTGGCTGCCATTTTAATGTGTTAAGCAATGCTTTGCCAGCACATTTGATTTGTGTGTGAGGGGTGTATTGATTTCAATGGCTTGTGTAAAATGTAGAAGGGAAAAGTTCATGTTTCTCTGTTACTGAATGCAGTAGAAATGCCCCCTGACTATGGTACTGAGCCCGATGCTAAAACATTCTTATCAGTCCGTGTGTGAGCAGGTTTACAAAAACCTTATTGGTGGTTGAATTCATTCCTTTGTTTGAGCAATTTTCCCTTTTTTTTCATTTAGCTGCCATCGAAAGCTGTATGTTTTTGTGTAGATTTTGTATTGTTTGACCTGTTGTAGTCTTTAAATGCCAGAATCAGATTTACTTCACACTTCTAAATCAACCATGAATTAGAAGTCAACTTTATTTGTAAAGTCCAGTATCACATTAAATGCCTAAGTGCCAGGTTTTTTTTAATCCTGGTCCTTGGGGACCCCTCCCCTGCATGTTTTAGATGTTTCCTGCTCCAACACACCTGATTCAAATGAGTGGCTTGTTATCAGGCCACTGCAGAGCTTGATGACGAGCTGATCATTTGAATCGGGTGTGGTGGAGGAGGAAAACATCTAAAACATGCAGGGCATTGGCCCCCAAGGACCAGGATTGAAAAACACTGTCTTAGTGGGTTGCGAAGGCCCACATGAGCAAAACTTACTGAGGATATGATGAAAGGGAAACATTTTGAGGGAAGCATAATCACTTATATTTCACATTTTCTTCCCTACAGCTGTCTTTCTCGCCCTCCACTCCCATGAACAGCCATGTGCGAGTGCTTTGTCTGCTGGTCTCCCTGTTGTTGGACTGCTGTGGCCTGGCTGTAGTCTGCGGCCTGCTGGGAGCTTCCCATGGCATGCACACACTCTCCTTTATGGCAGCAGAGGTGAGAACCATTTTGGTTGGTTTGGTGGAAGGATTTTGGATTTTGGATTTTGGTTAGGCCCAAGCTTATTCTGAAATAGTGCCGGGTTAACCAGTAATATGTTCAGATTTTGCTTGTCTGTTCTGGTTTTTATTGACAAGATTCTTGGCATATTAATGAAGCAAGAAACTTGAATATCTTGAAAGCAAAAATAATCTTTATTTACAGTGGATTAAATGTTAAAACAGTCAAATAAAGATGGAGTCAACACAAACACTGCATTATTATACCATTCAACAGGAAATGCAGCTCCTCGTGTTGGAAAACCTCCTTCATTGCATGAAATTGTTTTCACACAGTAATCACATTTTGCTGCATCACTACTGTCTTTTGTAAAGCATAACCACTCTTTCAGTGGCTGTCCTGGTCCGCCATATTGTCTACACTGAAAATTTTCTTTTTTATGGCAGACAGATATAGCAGGAAAAGCACAGTTGCAATTATTAACATTAATAATGGTTGCATTTCATTTAGGTGTGCCCGTTCCAGAGCCCCAGTATTATGCATGATGGCTCACAAGCATGGCTTACTGGAGCGCTGGAATCATCCCTAATGTTTTCAACTGTGCTTTTCCTGCTATGACAAGTCAAAATGTCTGCTATGGAAAAGTGCTTTTTATTATGTTTTTTTATCAAAGCTGTCTCAAGGGAATACATTTTTACAGTGAGGTTTAGTTTAAAGCACATGACATTCCTTTATCATTTCCTTCACATAGCGATTGTTTTTGAAAAGTAACAACTGTAATGTCATATTTTGGATTGTTCTATATGAAAAGTAGTATACAAGAATTCTATTGTTTCACCTGTATGCTTTGGTTCTCAGTGTCTGCTGGTGACTGTACGCACTGGGCATGTCATCATGCGGTAAGTCCCTTTTAAAGCCTCCTCACACACGCATGCTCGTACACACACTGCAGCAGTACAGATGGCAGACTGTGCAGATTTAGAATCAGGGGCTAATGTTAGCGACACCATTTGTTTTCCTCTGGTTCCATTAGCACCAGTGTGAAAGGCTCCTTTGTCCCAAAGAGTGGTTAGGATTATACAAGCAGCAGAAACAACTCTAATCAGCTGAGGCACTCAAAGATGCAGTATCTTTAGTCTTTAACATTAGAAGTTGTAAACTGTAATGAGGTACAGAACTGCAGGAACTGTTGGGTCTCTGTAAATCATTTTATACAGAGTACTGTCTAAACCTACTCTATTTGAAAAGTGTCTTGAGATAACTTTTTTTGGTGCTATACAAATAAAAATGAATTGAAATTGGTTTGCTACATGACTAACTGTACTCTAACAATAAGAAATGTATTCATTGTATGCTATCCTTGTTTGTGTTGAACCTGTGTTACCACATATAGTTGATTAGGATATCAGCAGCAAGGCAAGTTTATTTATATACCACATCTGCCATTCATAGTACTTCACAAATGAGCAGATAAAAGAACATTTTAACCAAGCATGTTGGCTTAAAGCTATTACACATGGGAACATATTTGGAAATTCTGGACTTTGATTCTGTCTCATTACACTGTTATTCTCTCTTCTTGTTTGATGTTAGGGTGGGGATCTCTAGGCACCTCACAATTTGATTCCGATTCAGCGGGCTACAATGCGATAATAAAACCATTGTCGATGCATCACAATTTTTCTCACAATGTGGCTACTTGCTACGTTTAAAACATTTAAAACATCGTGTATTTGTAATGATCCATCATTAAAGTAAGCAGATTAATTTACTTCTATTAAAAGCAGTTACAAATGGAAGAGATTAACACTTGTTCTCGTTCGTTACGTGTCGTCATCCATTTGCCGGCCATAATGAATGTTCAGCCATAAGGAGCGTACGTGCCTCTTACGCATGCTTGTGTGGAGATCAGCCATTTTGTCTGCAGCCCGGTACCGTTTTGTTACAGGTGATCATAATGTTGAGGAGTTAGCTTTAAATTTTGGATTCTGATCTGCATCAAGACATAATCATTAAAGTGAAAATTGCAGTGCATCTGAGAGTCAGATTTTTTCTTCCACCCCTATTTGATATGTTGATGGATTTATCAGTCTGCTCCTTCTGATGGCAATATCACCTGTGTTATTGCACTGTAATACTTTCACACAATCTTTGTCTCGTGTCTGAATTGCTAATCCCCATGCAAGTTAAGGGCCGCATCACCCCCTGTACCGTCTGAATATCGCCTGTGTTTCATGGCCTGAAAGAGCTGTGCATGTCCCCTCAGATACTCCATTCATCTGTGGGATCTGAACCATCCAGGGACCTGGGAGAGTAAGGGAACATACGTCTATTACACAGACTTCATCATGGAGCTGGCTATGCTCTTTCTGGACCTCATGCACCATATCCATATGCTGGTAAGACAGAGGGAACAGGTTTTGGCCATGTGATGTTATTAAAATCTAGTCTGTCGCTGTCTCTTTTTCTGTGTCCCTAATCTTTTCTGTCTGTATGTCTCTCATTAGCTTTTTGGTAACATCTGGCTGTCCATGGCAAGCTTGGTTATATTCATGCAGCTGCGGTATCTCTTCCATGAGGTCCAGCGGCGCGTCCGCCGACACAAGAACTACCTTCGTGTCATCAACAACATGGAGGCCAGGTGATTTATATGTTTTGATTTAATAGTTTGTCCCTTTTTACCTCAGGGTTTTTTTTATTTTTTTTTTATTTGTTCAATTCATTAATTTCTAATTAAAGCTTTATTTCATTAGATGATTGCTTGTTTCATCATTATTTGTATGTACTTTGATTTTTTAATTTGTGCAGATTTGCTGTTGCTACTGCAGAGGAGCTGGCAGCTAATGATGATGATTGTGCCATCTGCTGGGATGCCATGTTGACAGCACGCAAACTACCCTGTGGCCATCTCTTCCACAAGTAAAGTATTTTTTCAATCAGCAGCAGTTGCTGGTATGCATATTAGAGTCCATGCAGGGATTGTTTTACTGGTGCCACTGGAGCATTTCTTTTTTTTGCATTATGTTTTTATGTTACATGCTCTTTACACTACATTTCCCCTGTGCTGCTGGGCCAAACTTAAATTTCTACTACAGGGAATCAATAAAGGGACATCTTATCTTATCTTATACAGAGAAATGCCATAGTAACATTTGTGAGTTGTGTGTCTGCGATTCCAGCTCTTGTTTGCGCTCATGGCTCGAGCAGGACACCTCCTGTCCAACATGTCGAACATCCCTGAACATTAATGGGGACGGGGGCCAGGCGAGAAGCCAGCAGCAGGGCGCGGGTTTGGAAGACAACATTGGTGCAGTAGGAGCTGCTGCAGATGCTAGACCACACATCAACCAACACAATCACTTCTTCCACTTTGATGGTAAGTGTCAGACACAAATCCAAGGGTGAACCAAGCAGGCACCTTACCAGAGGTAGGCGTGACAATAAATGACAAAATCCATACGTTATCTTACAGGATCTCGTATTGCCAGCTGGCTGCCCAGTTTCTCAGTGGAAGTAATGCACACCACCAATATTTTGGGCATCGCTCAGGCCAACAACTCCCAGCTCATGGCCATGGTGAGTTTGTATTTACAATCTAATTATTTTTGGGGGTTTTATGAGAGATGATATACAGAAAATTGAGGCCAGATATTGCTTTTTTTTTTCTAGACAGTTGCTGACAGTTGACACTTGCATAAAGCCAATGCTGTCCCACTCTTCGCTTCCTGTCTTGCTGTCTATTGCCTCAGAATGTTTCTGGGGATGTGTACCAGTGCCCAAATGTTAACATCATTTATTATTAGTCTTTATTTAATTTATTTTAGCAGAAACTGTACAGAAGATGCCAAGTATATCTAAACAAAAAGGTTCCAAGTATTCTGAACTGTCATATACTTGGAACTCACTAATGCTCTATGTTTAAGACCTGCTTGTGCCAACCTTTAAATTTTTGATGTACCTTCTGGTCATCAGGCCCATCAGATCCAGGAGATGTTCCCTCAGGTGCCCTCCTACCTGGTAATGCAGGACCTGCAGTTGACCCGCTCTGTGGAGGTCACCACTGACAACATCTTGGAAGGGCGCATCCAGGTGCCTTTCCCAACACAGGTCAGTCAGTTTGGGGTCAAATTTTAATAGCAGCTTTTGTAATTATTTCAGTGATGCCTTTAAACCTTGTTCTGATAACACAACATTTCTCCAACAGCTCTTTCAGGGCTTCAGTGCCTCTGTGTTTCATGCTGATCACGTTACTTTGGTTTTTTTGAAATGCAGAAGGCAACAATCTATCACAATATTCTGCCTCTGTTCCTTCCTCAGGCCATAGAGCGTGGCCCCACACAGGGGAGCCCTGCAGCAGACGAGCAGGAAGGGCCCAGTGGAGCAGCCGAGCAGGGCCTCAGTGAGTCAGACAACATGGAGGCGAGAGGAGGTCGCTTCTCTAAGTCAGCCGAGGAGAGGCAGAAGATGTTAAAGCAAAGGAAAGAAGAAATGGTCCAGCAGGCACGCAGGTTTGTACACTGGTTGTGTAGTTCAATTTAAAAAAAAAAAAAAAANNTGAAAATGAAATTTGATTGTTGTTGTTTTGATTGCACTGGATTGTGCAAGTATAAATTGTCAGCTGTATAGGATTGTGCCTTGTAAAAATAGACTTTTCTGTGTGAACCAGGGCTGGATGCATGAAATGTTGAAAGGCCTTCTTCTCTTAGCTGAAAGACCCAGTTATACACAACTAACAAGTAGAAACATAGCATTCCTTTTGCCTTCTTTCCCCCATTATCTTGAATCTTCTGTTCCCATGATCATGTGTTGTTCATTACTTCCCTGTAGGAGATATCTGAACAAGAGTCCAGAGGACGAGGATGAGGATTTGCCTGGACTGGAGGAGGACTCTATTCCAGAATTGAACTTGACTGTGCTGAGACGTAGGACCATGGCAGCAGCTGCAGAGAGACGCATGCAAAATCAAACAGATCCTGCACCCTGAAATATCGATTGGCCAGGGCAGAAGAGTCTTATCACATCATCGTCCCAAGAGACACTGACAGAGCTATTTCAACACCCCCCTCCCCGCACCCCCCATCCTCCATTTGATGTACAGTGAATGGTCATCACGTCTTCAAACAATAATTTAAAAGTGTCGCAAACATGGCGTTTGGACTGTTTTGGGCTGCCTAAATAAGGCAGGACTGTTGTGAATGGCTTCTGCCTCACTGATTCCAGAGTATTTGGAGCATATTATAAATTGATGGGTGCAAGTCAAAAAATGCAAGGTTGCATTGCCCTTTATTCACGTGCCACGCATTACAACCACCAGCTTGAGTGGGGAGTCAGTCTGCCTGTCAAAAATGAGCATGCTTTGCATTCAGAAGAGTCTTTTATGAGAGAGGTTTGAAGGTGTCATTTCTAGATAAAGCTGTTTGGGTCCTTGTTTGTTTTTCCTTTTTGTTTTATTTCTCATGGTGGAAATCTACATATTCTGGATGACGAAACTCATCGGATGTATTTGTGTGTTATTCTTTTATGAGTTTCAACTGTGAATTAAGTGTAGGCAAAATAACACGTTTTTATTTCTTACCTTGGCGTAAGAGAATGTCACTTTAGTATTGTTCAGCCTTTTTGTCAAATATGAATGTTTCTATCAAAAGTAATGCTGCAAACAAAGTGTTTTTGACCCATGTGGGTTTGTATTGAGTGCGTAATATCACCCATTGCAAACAGTTTTGTTATTTAACAAGGGGTGGGCGTGTAAATCTATGTTTTCTAATACTGTTCCCATGAGATGCATAGGCAACAGGGTGTATTACATTTTGTACAAGTACAATGGGTGTCATCCTCTCAGTCTTTCTTAAATTAACTTGTGTTCATTAGCAGTTCTCTCCGAGTAAGAGAATATTATTTTCCACTGAGTATAATAATTGGGTCCCTTGGTCATCAGTGTCAGTCTCTTTTTTTTTTTTTTTTAGGGTATGTAGATATTAATTCTGTGACAGCTGGACTAGCTGGATGGTGTTTTGTCGATGTTTTGTCAATCATTCAAGCAGAACGGATCATCAGAAAAAACATTTTCAAGACTCAACAACAAATCCGGTTGCCTTCTGATGTAATACTTCTAGATATTCTATGACCTGAATGACTGAGAACCTTTAATGAATAAATTTGTGTGGTCTTTGTTCACTCACATTGAGGAGTGTTAATTCAAAAATCATACCAGCAAGGAACATAATCATCCTCTGCCAAAAAGATTTTATTTCAAAACTGTACTGCAATTTACAACATGAACTGAGCCCTTGAAACATTTTGGTATTGTCAAATTTCACAAAATCTGTAGCACTAGACATATCGACGGACACAAAGATGGAGACTTGTCTGTATTATAAGTGTTTTATTTCTTGTGATTACAGTGCAAGGGCAGTTTGGGTGAGATATGCATGAATCTAGACAAGTACTTTTGTTTCCTTCCACTTTATCCCAAAGAGCAGCCCGCAAACTTCCACTAAAAGCTGAAGTGTTGTGATCTTTATTGTGTGTTTATTTTATTGCTCAATCTCGGGGGGTTTAAGAGGAGACAATGTAGGATTTTGATTTCAATTAGCCATAATGTAAAAAAGAAACTAGACAGTTTTGTTTTCATTTTTCCATTCAGTTATTTAACAGCTCCTCATATCCATGATGTATTTTCCTATTCATGGATTATCTTTCATAACCATTACATATTTAATCAAAACGAGTACTTTCTTGAACTGAGCTTTCCTGTATTTTTGTGCCTAAATCGAGACTGGTTCAGTTATGGATAATTTCTGTAAATCTAGTTTTTGTAAAATATGTTAATACAAAAGACTCAATAAACAGAGCTTCTACGGCTTTTTAACTAAATATAGCAATTTAATCATTTTTTCCTGATACAAACCCACGAACATACAACAATGACAGTGAACCCTGTCAAATATGTAGTGGCCAGTACCCAGTACAGCGGACCTTGGAGTGTATTAGTCCAATAAATGTGTTGTTGGAGTCACTATAATATAAAATAGTTCCTGTTTCATCACACTGGGACGTGTGTACTTCTATTGACGTCACCAGGCTGCGCCCCTTACCTCCGGCGTCTCTGCCACGTCATCCAGAAGGGCTCCTGCCAGCAGGAAACAGCCCCACTGTGGAGCTCAGCGATGGAGCCCAGCCTCACGCAGAGCTAGTACAACTCCCCGGTCGCTACAGGACGTTACCTCAGTGTGGGAATCCAACCGGACCATCTGTTCTCCTGCGCTTCACTGGTACGTAACGTTAGAGGATAGCTACATTAGCAGTTAGCACGGCAGGCGACACTTACAGAGGTAATGTTAATGTAAACGCTGTGAGCAGGTAGCAGGGCTGCATAGGATCTGTCTGACACACAACAGGAGGAGAGTGAGACTACATGAAGCTATAGGACAGTATAGTTATTTGCCTACACATTATTAGAGCAGTTTGTTGTATGTTAGGTGACTGACTTGGTCAACAAGAGCTGTTTGGTGAAATGTAGGAAATACTCTGCAGTGTTGGCTCTGAACAACCCACTTTACTCAGTCATAGTCTTATTTGCGATGTGAGTGTAAACTGTGTTTTTGCTGGATGTAGCTGTGTTCATTTGGTTCAAACTCCCTGTGTGTTAGAGCACTGCTGCTGTTCACTGGTGAATGGGTCGTTCTCATATTACATATCCTGGATTACATCCTGGGTGAATGCTGAAGACTGGTGTAAATATATAAGAGGATGGCCGTAATAATTAGTATGTAGGTGTGCTCATTTATATGTCAGCTGGCTTGTCAACCACTGAATCATGACAGTAAAGTAATGTCAACTGTGTACCAAGTGAAACTATATTTGCCAGGTCAAAGTTCTGTATGACTTAGAGCAAACATATTTCCAGGTAGTATGACAGTATCACTGTATTCACTCACTGTGCTGACACAGTATCTGAGACGGATTAGAAAAAGCTTCTCTATTTAATGCCACAATTTCAGTTTTGCATACAGGCATTTGTGGGTGTGTAAGTATCTGTGGGCTTACCTGTGTGTGTGTGTGTGTGTGTGTTTCCAAAGGAGAGATTGTGGAATGCTGCTGGACGAGACTCCGCTTTTTGAGCCCTCTCTGCTTCAGGATCTTGACTGGAGTAGCAACACGGTCTCCTTCTCTCCCTCCATCTCCCCGTCCAGCCCAGGAGAAGGCCTGGTGCTCAGGCCGCTCTGTACGGCAGACTTCAACCGGGGTGAGTCAGAGACTGGTTGGATAATGTGTTCCAGACCAGTACTTCTCAAGAGAATATGAATGCGGTGACCACTTTGTGATAGATAATGTGTTGTTTGGTAATGTAATAGAAATGTAAAAGTGACATTTTTAACCTACTATTGTTTTGTTTCTGTATTTCAGGATTCTATAAGGTTTTATCTGAACTCACCCAGACAGGCGATGTCACACCAGAGCAGTTCACGAGTAAGTCATGCTCAGCATAATGCTACTTTTATATGACACAAAAGCGGGATTCTGATTATTTTGTTCAGAACATTTACCATTTACTCAGTTTTTCCAAGTTTTGACTTTCATGCTAAAACTTGTCTTTATATACATCAGATCAGATCACATCACACATTTGAGAAAAGAAACTATCCTCTCCTAGAAAACAAGTTTAAATACAATGTAATAAAATGTTAATGATGAATAAACACGAATGTTGTCTGTTGGCTTCCAGAAAAGTTTGAGCATATGAAGAGGACAGGGGACTACTACGTCGTCGTGGTGGAGGACACAAATGTGGAACAGATTGTTGCCACGGCTACATTGATCACAGAACACAAATTCATCCACTCCTGTGCCAAGGTAAATTACATCCCGGCAAGCCATTTGTGCATATTTACCAATGGATACATCTGTAATTTCTCTCCATATTTCCCCCTAAAGACCAATCCCATAAACAAAGTTACTTATTAATGTAGTGGTTATTAGAGGAGTGGTAATTATTAACATAGTTCACCACCATAAACTAAAAAAAAAGTTACATTTAAATTTTTATTTCCTTAAAAACTATGCATAGTAAAAAAAAAAGTAGTAGTTTTGATATTAGAGAGACAAAATAAAGACCCTCTCTATTCTGTCTTGTTTGCAGAGAGGCCGGGTGGAGGAGGTGGTAGTCAGTGACGTGTGCAGAGGGAAGCAGCTGGGCAAACTGTGAGTAGACCTGTGTGAGCATGACACAAAGACATTTTGTTTTTGGTTGTTTTTAATATTTAAATATTTGTCCCACAAATCCCCCCCCACACACACACATATAGGACACTTATTCAGGAAATAATCTTGTGATTTGTGCTGCTTTATTTTTTAAACTCCCTCTCCTCTTGTCTTTTTTTATAGGTTAGTTTCAACTCTTACTCTTCTCAGTAAAAAACTGAATTGCTACAAAATCACACTGGAATGTGCACCCAAAAACGTGGCTTTTTACCAAAAGTTTGGCTACACCGCCTCAGATGAGACTTACATGCAGTGTCGATTCTCCGACTGAAGACCACAGCAGCTTTAAACCTCCGTTTTAGGGGCATGGACCACACCTTTATACACCCACTGACATCAGAACTTAACATTGTAACAAAGTGTCTTAATAATTGGAAGAACTTGCCTAAGAATGAGTTTTTGGTTGTGACAGTCGAGTCATTTCTCGACTCATCTTGATTTCGCCGGAGGATCATGTTGGACTAAGCAGGGCTTCAACATACATTTAGTTTACTAAGTGCGCGAAATCAACCCCCCGACGTGGCCATCCTCGCTCGCACAACCACACAACTCTCCTCCAGGCAACGTCTTCCAATTATTA